AAAAAACAATATTATTAAAATAAGCTAGATAAGAGTATTTTAATTGATTATTGTCTTTGCTTCTGGCATGAAAATTGTCTTTGTTCTCAGTTGATCTAATCTAACGCGAATAAAAGTATTTAAAAATATTTGTTTCTGATTTTTTGGCGATTTTCAGATTTTTTCTTGTAAGTATGTATTGTATTTTCTTGTAAGTATTCCATAATGTGAATATAATATCATTTTTTTCTTATTAAGAACACTTTACCGTCATTTTTAAATTTATTTTACATGGGCGTATGTATACTATTCGTTCGGAAATAAATTTATTATTTTATAACAAAAAGGCCTATCTCTATTAAACAACTAAAAATAAATTATTTATTAGAATTTACGCTCGATTTATCTTCAGAACGTTTCTTCAATGTCTCCGTTTAAGTGTAAATACAAAAAACACTATTAAAAAATTAAAGACTTTACATTTATTGACCAAATGAAGTAAGTGATTTTCTTTAAATTGCTCTCCTGAAAAGTAGAAAAAATTGAGATACGCCTTTTCGTCATAAAGCCGACGATATGTTCTCTAAATATGTCGTCAGCTCTTAGGCTATAAGTACAGTTATGTGGCTGCATCCAAGTTTGCTTGGTTCTTTGATTGAACTTTGATCGTGTCATCCCGTCTTTATTAGGACCACCATCGTAGAAAATCTAAAAAAGAAGCTTTTAACCTGTAGAATAATCTCATTAATTATTTTAAAATACTTTATTTTCGTTTTTTGTTATACCTGCAATTTTTCGAAAACTACATGTAGCATTAAAAAAGTAAGTATACTATAGAATCAGTGTATCTAATATATTGTAATAGCAAAACATTTTCCGATGCACGTCATCAATCATATCAACATTGACATTAAAGTCTATAAACCTGACCAAATAAAATTTTGCCAAAAATGTTTAAATTTGTTGTATAATATAAGATACCGAGCAGCTCTTCATTTTACTATATAGAGCAAATCATTCATTGTAACAGATATATTATTTAGATTGAAGCTGCAAAAATTAATTTAAATCCAATTTTATTATCGCTACGTTGGTTATATTGCGCCGTGTTCAGCAATGTTGTCCTGTATTATTTAACAATTATCCTAATGTCAGTCATTATTTTGTATAATATCCTGTTGTTATTGAATCTTTGTGAGCAATTCTCGTTTTTTTGCCTATTTTCGTAGTCATTTTTTCGCTATGTTGGTCAACACAAACAGTTCTTTTAAGAACTAAATTTTCGAGTTTTTGTATTGCATTTCTTGAAATTGTGTGTTGAAAATATGCCGAAGCATTTAAACAGTCGAAGCAAAGAGCTTGTAGCTTCTCTGATAAACAATTTGAACGAAAACGTGACAATAAAGGCCTTTATTACCCTTGACTGCAGTCAGAGAAGTAAGTTTGATTGATAAGCACATTATACAACTTTCAAAGTTATTTTTTTTAAATTATGTGATTATTAGTTTTTGCATTAATAGCACCCTCTTACTTGTTATTACCACTTATGGCGTTGTAAGATGTAAATCAATAAATAACCCATAATAACGCTTAGAATAATGTTCATAATGGACTAGGTCCGAATATGTAAAATAAGCTATAAAACAAATAAATCAATTAATTACTAAAATATTAGTTATTAAATTAAAAACAAAACGTAAAACTCTTTAAAAAATGATATAATAAATATATTGTTTGTCATTTTTAAATTAAAGTTCATCTCATAAATCCTTCACAATCTGGCAGCGCTGTCGCCATCGCTTGTCACTCGAAGTTGATCACGTGCATCGGAAATTGTTTTGCGATTACTATACTTAAAATCAGTTTTAGTTTTGACCGTACCAAAATCGTTGTAGACCTGTGTTATCTAGTATCGTACCTCGTTCGTTGGAAGACATGGAGTGGTGGAAGAGTTACTTCTTCGGTGTCGATTTGGAAAGTGATCGAAATTCCTATAGCACCCCGTTCCTGTTTGAGATGGATTCTTGCTGTTACCGCCTCCTGTTGTCGATTCCCCCTCCGTGCTGTTCCCGTCCGCGTGCGACATGTTGTGGCCTAGACACACGCAAGGTTTCGTACACACTCTGCCACATCATCGTCATCTTCAAGGCGTACACTGACTTTTTACAGCTAGAAGCTAACTGCATAGCTTATGTGTGTTTTAAGTGTCGTGTTGTAACCTTTGTTTATATTTTATCATAATATTTGTCAAGATATTTTTCAAATTTAACATGATATTATATACAAAATTATTATTTTAACAAAAATAGAAATATTAAATATACAGAGTGAGTCTTAAATAAGTGCAAGCATTTTTAGGGGTGGTATACTTTGACCCTCAAAAAATGTCTACCGGGTGTTTCTCAAAAGTGACTCATTTTTATAACATTTTTATTTTTTCAGATTAAAAAATCAAATTTAGTATGTCAGTATATGACATAAATTAAGATTGATTGACGTATTCAATTATTGTTTTCGGTCACTTTCTCTTTTACCGCTAAATTACTACAACTTTTGATTTTTAAATGGCACTCTCAGTATTTTTTTACTTTATTCGATAGAAAATGACGCTCTGAATAGAATGACATATCATATATGTCATGTTTTGATATTTTTGCATATGGTTTATATGAAATTGTATTAAGCGGTTCACAACAAAAATTTGACTCGAAATACCAAGTGTACGGTACCAAATTATTCGTAAAAATGCTTTTTCCAAATATACTAATAAACTACCCTCGTTCTATTTGTAAAAATCGAGATATGATTAAAAATATGATTTGGACTTCTTTTAACCGGCCATCAGGACAAGATATAAAAAACATCAGACAATAAAATGTATTTTTCCAAGGCTCTTTGATTAAAAATTTGTGTTTTTAATACAGCCATGGTACTCTATATTGAAATTTAAAATACTGATATCTGATCTACAGGGTGATCCGAATTGTAATCGATAAAATTCGGCAGCATATGCTGCATAATTTAAAAATCAGTAAAAAGTTTGTATAAATAGATGTCCTAAGATGCTTCCTTTCCTACATAGATACAAGGTGTAGAAGTTTCATTTTTATTTAGATTTTTTTTTAAATAATTTCTGAACTGACATCAATATTTGGATGAAAATTGGTGTCTTTTAGTAGGAGTTTTTTGACATGGAAAATTTAATTTCGATTTCAATATATTTTGATGCCTACATATTTTTAAACTGATTTGAAGAAAATAAGTTTACGTCTGGTATTTGGAATCAAAATCATCAATACATCACATCATTTACTTATTTTTATCTGCAGAATATGCCGCCGAAGTTTCCTGAATACAATTCGGACAACCCTGTATATGAAAGATACTCCCAATACCGTACATGTTATGGTGTCAGATACTGTATTAATTTTTTATGTTCATATTACCTGAATTTAATTCCAACAATAATAATTTTGTATATAATTATCGTTTTATTTAGTGAATATATCTGAATTGTGTGTGGGAACAAATTCTACTTAGGATTTTCACAGGTATGAAGCAAAAGCTAGGTTTTAAACCACAGACAACTATACAGAGTTGACACGTTAATTTATTATACTAATTATTTATCGGAACCCCCTTTTTTGTGTATTCTATCTTTTTATACGTATCAAAATTAAAAAAACCAAACAAAGTAATCTACTGATTTTTATTATTGACTTATTATTTCATCTCCAAAACATAAAACGATTATCTTTTCTCATCTTGGTGTATGTACAGTATGATCGAAAAAAAAACGGCGTCAAAGACAGCTGGGGTATGACAATCGATGATACTTTTGGTGAGATCAATCTCTAGACATCATTTATTAAAAAAAACTTGTCAAAAATTAACATTAATTATAGAAAGATTAAAAAAGGATAGAACGTTTCCAGACACACAAATCTATTACCAAAAAAAACTATTTTTTTTTTTCGAATTTTAAACTACATCATTTAAAATCATTTTTATTTATACCGTGTGCGTCTCAAATGTGGCTCACCCTTATAACTTTTTTATTTTTTCAGATAAAAAAACGAGATTTAGTATGTTAGTATATGACATAAATTAGGATTGATTGACGTATTCAATTATTTTCGGCCACTTCCTGTTTCACCAGAAATTACAGCAACTTTTGATTGTTAAATGGCACCCTCGGATTTTTTTTTACTTTATTCGATAGAAAATGATAGTCTGAATAGAATGACTTATCATATATCAAGTTTTGACATTTTCGCTTAAACAAAAATCGCATTTAAATTTCAATATAGAGTGCGATGACTGTGATAAAAAATACTAATTTTTAATCAAGAAGCCTCAGAAAAAAGATTCCATCGTCTAATGTTTTAGTGTGTCGTATTTTTAATCGGTTTTTATTTCTTTCAAACGAGGGTGGCTCATTGGCATCTTTGGAAAAAGCATTTTATTACGAATAATTTGGTACAACACACTTGGTTAGGTTGTAGTCAAAATCAAAAGTTCTAGTCAAATTGTCGTTATAAACCGCATGTTACAATTTCAAATAAACCATATTCAAAAATTGCAAACGCTGACATATGATATGCCATTCTATTCAGAGTGTCAATTTCTAGCTAATAAAGTAAAAAATAGAGAGGATGCCATTTAAAAATCAAAAGTTGTAGTCATTTCCGGTGAAACAGTAAGTGATTGAAACCAATTAAATACGTTAATCAATAATACTTAATGTCTACACACCAAATCTCGTTTTTTATCTGAAAAAATAAAAAAAAACATAGGGGTGAGCCACTTTTGAGACGCACCCGGTATAAAACTAAATTACAACCTTCCTAAGGCCAACTGGCAGTAAGCTCCATTAAGAAATAGAGAAGAGAGAAATTAATCTTACTTGTTTTTAAAACACCATAAAAAATTTGATGCAGCTACTACTAAAAATAATACTACATTCTATTAGCGAAAACAATAATTTTATTATAACCATACGCAAAACATCTCATATACACTATTTTTGTACACTAGTGTCCAGTCTGTTCGTTATCTGTGGTATATACACAATATTTATATTTTTAGGTGCTGGTGATGTAACGCATGCTCCACCCATTGCTACTGCAAACGAAATTTCACGAGTGTTTCCGAGTGCCTTCGTTTCCGCCAATTAGGGCGCACTTGTCACCTGCGGAAGAAGACACAGATGTTGGAGGGGTTGTGTGTTTCTTTATTTTAAAGAGCTTAAAATTCTTAGTTTTATGCTATCTAAACCAAGTGGTTATTTAGTAAGTTAACAAGGAGCCCAGTCAAATTATGATGTGTTCATGCTTCCGAGGTTAACCTTAACACTAACATTAATCCCAATTTCAAAAATATGAAACGCTACCGTTTATGCTTCAGCGCATGGATCTTAACATTAGCCTTAGTCGTAACAGGTCCTAAGAAATATGAGATATTTTATATTCTACGGCCCTTCTACGGCTAATGTTACTTCAAAATTGATTTGCGCATGCAAAACTAGGGGTGTTAACAATTTTCTAAACAATACGTGACATGTTGAATTTGACAGTTTATAAATGTTAATAAATAATTTATTTTCTGGCCTAAAGAGAAATTATTAATGTAAAAGTTAGTCTCTCTAGTAGTCGAAATTCTAAAAATATTTGTAAAGTTAGACTAACTCAAAACATATGTTTTATATGAGCGCAAGCGCTTACTAGAATATGCTTAAGATAAGTAGAAGTATGAACGGCATTTGCTTAAGTTCTTAAAGATAATTTCTTAGGACTAATGTTAAGGGTAAAGTTGGAAAAAATTCCTACAGTTTTGAAAGTGGTTTTAAACGATTTCTCTAGACTTGGGCTGATACTACTTCTAAAATCACCGAAGATGACGATATGTTACTTTTATCACTATAGCTTATATCTCGGAAAACCACCTACGAAAAACTACCCTATACAGGGTGGTACATCGACGTTGGAAACACAGGAAATCGCATGCAAATTTTGAACTGTCCAAATATTAGTTTCCCTTTTGATTTTACAGCGAAGTCGAACCGTTTAAAACCATTTTAAAAATTGTGGGAATTTCTTCTACCGATGGGCTATTTTTTAATTAATTTGACTGGGATAAACTAACAAATATGCTTAGTACTTAGTATGGTAAGATAAGTTATTAATCAGTCAAGTAATCTGAGTTAGTAAAATATTAATGTACTCCACGAAACCTACAGTTTTATAGATAATATCTGTATCATAATGGGATTTTTTCTTTACAGTATTGGATAAAATTTGACTTTGATGACAGCGGCGAAGCTTTCGTTGATGCGGGTGATACGTCGCATCCCTTCAAAATATTCTAATAAGTTTTTATTTAACAAGATTACTGAGAACTCCTATAATAAATTAAAATTTATCAGTATATTTATTCAAATAATTAAATTCAATTTCAATTATGTAGTGTGTGTATTAGTCGAGCTTTTTACGAGATAACGCTAAGAGCTACCCTAAACGCTAAAATTAAAAATATCTCGACAGCGCGATGATGCGACTGTCATCGGTGAATTTTATTCGGTGGATGATGTGGTTTTTTAAACACATCTCGCTGGCGGTATAAAATAAAAAATATCGTCGCGAGTCGCAAAGACAGATTCTGAATGCGGCTGTAAAATAGAAATAATTTTGCTCTAATCATTCTTCAGTCCTATGGTATTCAGAAAAATTAAAAACTATTGAAGAAGGACCTCCAAAGCATTTTTTGAATATTAAAACTAAATTAAAATCATGTGTTCGTCATTCTAATGAAAATGTTTATAAAAGTAAACACTGGTTATGTGGTTGTAATGCACTTAATAAACTTTTTTGTTAGTCTAGTCTAATATTCTATCTAACAGATACGTTCACAGCATTGTTTGTCAACCTAAATTTAGTTCTTTTTTTAAATTGGTTTGATTATTTTTTTCCTGTTACCTTTCTTTATTTTTTATTTTTGTAACTTCAAAATTAAAGATTATAGTAAAAAAAAAGAAAAAAACTTTATTGTGTTGGTAAAATGTTAATTGCCTTTACTTATTAGATCCCCTTGTATTGGCGCCACGCTACGCCGCTGTTTGGCGATTAACTGTTGGTACTTTAATTAGATTTAAATTAAATAGAAAAAATTAACCTGATACTTTCGGATATCTGTCAAATTTGACATTTACAAAAATAAATTACTAGAAATAAATTTAAGAAAAAAGTTCACTTAATTTTTTTTTGTTTTACATAAATATACCAAATTTTTTAACCAATAGCAGCCGATTCTCGTAATAGAAGCTAAAATAATTAAAAAAAAAGTAGTTCCATTGTCAGTCAAATATTCATCTCGTGTTCATATCCTATATAAGTTAAATGTTTTGAATAAAGGAATAATCAATTAGTAAATATAAATATGTATATATAAAAATCCCATGTGATGCGGACTTTATGTGACCCTGTGAATCTGCTTATAATATTTTCAATACATCAAAAACACAATATTTTGACCTGCATTTAGTTTTATTTGTCCACTTTAGTACTACTTAATACTCACTCAGTGATACAATATTAACAAAATTCAGTACATCAGATTTCCTGTTGACATTGTCACTTATTTTTTTACAGCGGTTTTTTTGTAAAACATAGATTTAGAATGACTAGATTGATATGACATAAAATTGCAAATTTAATTATGACAAATAATTAATCACTCTGTATATTGAAAAATACTTTTAAAACGTGTTCAAACGCAAAACTTGATATAAATTATTAATAATAAAATCGGTCACTCTTTAACAATTTATTTAATAATAAACAAAATATATTGCATAATATTAAAAAGTATGAAACTCTTTTCTTTTAATAGGTCAAGTTAATATAAAAATTCTCATAAATTTTCGATTTTAAAGTAATGTCTATAAATTTTAACATTATTATAATAGTACGATAGTTATAAAAGCAAAAACTTTAGAATATACGATATGATCGAAAAAAACAACGTCCAGTTGGCTTAGAAATAATGACCGATGACATTCCCCATACATTTACATACAAAATGACAGCGATCAAGTCAAACCCATCGCTGTTGTCGTTTTTATTCGATCATATTGTATTAATATCAAAAGGATAAGCAAACAATCTAGTTTGACAATTATGGTTGTATCAATGATGTGTGAACTTGAATTTTTCTAAAAAAATGTTAAGAATTCGTGAGTCCATCTCAATGTCTATGCTTACTATATTATTTAATATCTCCTAAAACGTTGTAAAATTGTTTTTGTTGGCTAAAGCTTCCTTCAGAACCTCGCAAATAGTGGAATTAATTAATGGTTTCAATTACACTATATACATTTTAGTTTACGATCATTCGCAATGTCTAAAAAACACTATTAAGATTAATAAAATGTCCTAGCAACAGCTTGCGGTAGTCAGTTGTATCTATAGAGAAAGGCAAATATTTAGTTTATAAAACAATAAACTTTTTGATTTCTAGATAATCAAAGACCAAAATGATATTCCTCGCAAGTTTTAAAATATAATTAGTGGAAAAGTTAATAGTTTGTTAACTTTTTCCACTAACTGAAAATTCCTGCCACTAATTTTTACGTTCTGAATATTTACATTAAAATTAGAGGAATAAACTTTTACGCTAATTAAAACCACTAATTTATTCCACTAATTTCGAGGTTCTGAATGAAGCTCAGCCAGATTTTCCACTAGCAAACTAATTTCCGTTAGAATTCTACCAGTGGCATTTTACAAAAATTTTTTTGTAGATTTCTCTTTCAGTGGCGAAGTAGCCAGTCTTTTTCAGATAATAAAATTTGTGGTTATGCAAATTTTCCAATTTCGCACAAATAAAAGCTTCAAAATTGAAGTTAAAACGAAATAAAAGAGTTGATTTATTATCAATGCATCAAGCCTATAAAAAATATTAAAGCTGATGATGGTAATCAAAAGACGAAACGTCAGATGCCAAATCTGAAAACACCATTGTTTAGCTAGAGATAAGTTGTAATGAAAATGTACTTTTTGTTTTAGGATACCTTGTCAAATTACGTCAGAAAGAAATAAAATCCAAATCTTCAATTTTGGTTTTTCTCAAATATCTCCGGAAATATTTCTAAACGGCATACTTATTATTAGGCACATTAATACACCACTTTGACATAATTTAACCATCCTTGTATTTCCTTTAGATGTCGGGGGTTTGAAATTGAAATACCCTCTGTGTTGAACAATATCTAATATAAAGTATCTACAAACAGAATAGGACTACCTATTACTAGTACTTAAACCAAAGATATTAAAAATAAATTTGACTAAGGGTAGCTGCAACGACGCGCGACGCGACGTCCCGTAATCCTGCTGTTAAAACATAACAGCTGGTTTTCATATATAAAAATCAATTGTTTTGTTTTAACCGCAGGATTACGGGAGGTCGTTGCAGCCACCCTTAAACAATGAAATTAGGCAATTAATTTAATATTTACTAAAAGGCTTGGTTAATAATGTAATTGTAATAATGTAATGTATAATTGTAAATTATATGCAATAAAAAGCATTTCAAAATACAACTCTTTTAATATTAAAGCTACATGTAATTCATTCGCTTCTTTGGCAACAGGCCATCTTGAATCACAGTTCGAACAAATATTGCTTACTTCTGTAATCTATCGGTTATATTAATATTAACTGAAAGGTTACTCCGCCATCTTTTGGCAAAATTCCATAATTTTCTGATTTTGCAGCTTGCCTTGCCAAAGACATACATAAATAAGCAAAAGAATAAAAGAATTTACGAAGCAAGAAATTAAACCTGAATGATCAGACATATTTATGCTGTCTGAGGAGAGATACATATTTTAAAGATTAAGAAAGGGTGATTTATGTCATATATAGACTAGAATTCTCTCCGTAGATGGTATTCAACGTGGAATAGGAAAGCAAAATCCAACAAAGGATGGCAAAGTTTCTTATCTTGAATTACGTTTTTATGTAAAAGATTTGGCAAAAACTACCACCGATGACTATTATTATATATACTCTTGTTTGCAATAATAATACATATCGTCGGTGAAATGTGATAAACTGCTAACTCCATTATTTCTAATTTTACAGGAGAGCAAAAAAACGGTACAAAAAAATATGTACACATGTAGGAAGTATT